TATAATATATATATATCATATATATATATATATATATATATAGGATGAGAGGAGACGAATGTGTCATATTTGGGATCACCATATGGGAAATATGGCTCCATCTAGAGAGAGTAGCAAGGCCTCTTGCATTAAGAGGCAAGGGTTCACATAGAGGGAACTGAATTTCTTAGAGAGAGAAACATTGCAATGTTACCTTGAGCTTCTTAGATGATATCATCTTTTATTGAGAGGAAGTCTTTGTTGCTCTTGGGGTATGTTTGACATCTGGAAGTTGGATGCACAGAAAGCTCTAGACCCTAGAAACTTGAAGATATGTATTTCTACATGTAGAATACTATGTTTGATAACATGTCTAAGAATTCTAATGAACTATGAAAAACTGTGTGATGAACTTAGGAAATTTTTAAGCCTGAACTATCGTAGTTAAGGGAGCATGCCCAAGTATTTCATCTTTTTAAGCTAAAATTTTGGACATTATACTTCTCACCGTATGCACCTTCAGAAAAATATACTAAAACTAAATAAATAAAAATTGACTGAAATACCCCTTAAATTCTGGGCATTTAGGTTTGTGAACTACTTTCTTATATCTTTTATTGATGCACCTTAATGAGGTGAACTAAACCTCAAATTTTCTTCTTAAGATCAATTTTAAAAAAGACAAAAGCAAAAAATCCCCTTGGGCAAGCTTTCCCATGAGAAGGTTGCCCTTTTCATTTAATAGGAGGCTCTTGGTTCCTTGAGGACCCATGGAGGTGTGCACGTCATTTTTGCCAGAACCTCCAGTTGTCAAACACTACTTTAAGGTTTTGCATTTAGTCAAAGCAAAATACATGACAAAATATGCAAATGTTTTTGTTTGAGATGGATAAATATGATGGTGAGCACAATCTTTTTAAAAAAAGAACGACAAAGGAAATTGTTTGGTGGATCAAGAACAAATCATAAACCTATCAAATGGATGCTATCATGGGAGCATGTGGTTTTTGATATCAAGGTGTAGATTGTTGGATATGGTGACATTCAAAATTACTCTATAGGGAGTCCTGTGTTATGTGAGATTGATATTAATTTGGATATTAATCATTGTTCAAAAAAATGAACCGTCCAACGCCTAGGTGGTCCAGAAGGCGTGGGCGCATTGTCCAAGCCTAGGCGGCCAAACTGGGCAGTGGTCCCTGGGCGGGCGGCTGCCTAGCGCCCCGCCCACGGCTTGCGCCATGCGCAGAGGCAGAAAAGTAATTTTTTTTTTTTTTCGTTTTTTCCAAGATATAAAAGTTTAGAACGATGGGTTTTAGGTTCATTTGAAACCTAAACCCACAAGAACCCCATTTAAAGAGAAAGAAACATCCAAAAAACTACATTTCATTGGATCGAAGCGTTTCTCAAAGTTTGGAGCTCGAGCAACCAAAGTAAGTGCAAAGCTTTATTTTTTAGATTACTTGTTTTATTTTGAGATGCCGTCTTCAGGAGTTAGTCGGAGTGGAGATCTGGGTTGAAAATATGGATACAACCCGAATCCAAATGACAAAAATTGCGTTAGATGCAATTTTTGTGAAAAGGATACAAAAGGAGGATGTTGCCCAGTGTAAAAATGTCCCTGAGGCTACCAGGAAGGAAATTATATAATATTTGAGTTCAGAGAAGAACAAAGAAAACGGTAGAGCAACCAAGACTCCTAGGGCCTCATCTTCACCGACTGCACATACTAGTAAGAAGAAGGTAGAAGAAGAGGAGGAAGAGGTAGATTCAAAAGAAACAGAGGAAGATGAGCATTATATTGAAGAGGGAGATGACTCTGATGATGATGGCCTCGATTCTGATGCATATGATGAGGCTTGCCGTATTGATATTCCCTCCGATGATGATGATGATGATGAATGATGATGACGACTGAAGACTCTTGCCTCTTGGTGTTGAGTGTTGAGTGTTGACTGTTGTGTTGAGTCATGAGTGTTGACTTTTGTTAGACTGTATATTTTCTAAATTTTTGTATATTTCTGTTGTGTTGAGTGTTGACTTTTATATCCTACACACTAGTATGGTTTTACAGTTTACTGTTTAACAATATGGATTATCAAAATTCTCTTCTCGACGTCTATCGTTTTTTTTTTTTCAACTTGGATTTGGAATAGTACATTAGTAATTTGGTATAATGGTGTATTTTTTTCACCTGGGCAGCCATCCAGGTTCTGGGTGCCCGCTTAGGCACTGGGAGGCCTGGACCCCCTAGGTCGCTAGGATCAGCCTAACGCTTTTTGATACACTGATATTAATATAGATAAGTTTACTTAGAAAACCAATTGAAGTTTCCTATTTGCTTTGGATTCCAATATATATATATAAGGAATGAGAGGAAAGAATACGTTTGCCCTATTTGGAGTCACCATATTGGAAACGTGGCTTCTGCTAAAGAGAAAGGTAGGGGCCTCCTACATAGAGAGGCAACGCCTCCATAGATAAACAACTAGAGAGGAACATTGCAATGGTGCCTCTTGTAGAGTAAGAGGCTGGTTTCTTCTAGAGAAATGGTTCCCATTGAGATTTTGGTGATATCCTTTTAGTAAGAAATTACTTTCAAGTTTCTCTCCCTAGATAGTAGTTTAGCTAAGGAATAGAGATGGGAATTTGGTGGGTGATGCTGGTCGAGTGAGCCAGTTAAAAAATGTTGCTCAACTACGTTTTGTCAAGGGTTAGCGAGTTAAGCTTGTGTCCCAAAATTTGTGAGGCAATTCTCATCAATATAGTAGATTTCAATTTGTCATGCCAATGTATGTAGTCCCTTCCGGGTGAACCACACAAATCTTTATGTTCTCATATGGTGTGTGATTTTATGCTTTATTTTCATGCTCGTATTATAGTTTGTACTTGCCTATTTTATTTCAAGTTTGTTAAGTACGCAATCCTAATAGGACCCAATACTAGGGGTTCTAGTTTACACATATAACAGGGTTGTCAAATCCTAATGAATGAGAGAGAGAGAGAGAGAGAGAGAGAGAGAGAGGACG